ATCTTGGAGAGCGTTTGCATCCGAGTTGTCTCGTGTCCTGCTTCAGGTAAGGAATATCACTGAAGTAACTATTTTTTGGGGGAGGGGGGGGGGGTGGGAGTGGTATACTTTCTTTATGAATTCGATTCATCTAGGAGCAATAATTGTCGCAGGGGAAAAATGTCGAAAACTTTTTGCTCCTATGTTACTTCATCAAACTATCTGCCGGATTGATTGTATTCATCGTACATGTTGTGAGTCCTAGATAGATTACAGTATCTCATAATTTATGTGTTTTCTCATCTCATACAGCTCGTTTTAGACGTTCTTCCTCTGTCTCTGCCTCTGCTGAATCATCTGTTGAGTCTAGTGAAACAGACTAAGAAAGCCATCGCCAAATATCGTCTTTGAAGAAGATTAGAGATCATTCTTCTGCACCTAGTAGTTATATGAAGTTTAATTTATTGTTATTCATTTTTATTTAATTTTACGTATTTATGATTAAACAATAATGTAGGCCTATTAATTCCGCCATTTTGAGATGATTAGATGCCTATATAATGTAATGCCCTCGGGACTGCCCTCATCAAAATAGATATTAAAGTTTCATAATAGTGTTTTTAATTTAATTCAAGCTAAGCCTTCATCATCCGTGATTGGTATATTAACATCTGTGTTGCTATAGCCTTCTTTCTTTACTCTTTAGCTTGTAAATAGACTGCATTATACTTATACATTCTATTATCAATTGTTACTATCTACATTGTATGTATATATTGTATTTACTAGTTGGTTACATTGTTCACGTTAGTACTTTCATCCCCTATATACCTATTATCGTTTGTACCTATGTGTCATTATCTATGTATAATGTTTAAGAATTGTATGCATTGCTTTTTATACTTCAATGTTTGTTTGTACTCCCATACCCCGAGAGGGGGTCAAAGAGTCAATACAATTCTAAATTCTTAATTCTAATGTAATATAAAACAAAGTGATAAACAGCTCCTAGCAAACTAAAATGATAAACTTATTCTTCCTTATCTTACATTTATAATAGGCATCTATGATGGTATTTAAAACTTGAATTTACTTACATCAATATTATTTTTTTTTTGTGTAAATTATTTAGTATTTAGGATCATTTCATTTTCTCAGACCCAAATTAGGTTTTTCGAATTAATCGTTCTATAGTTCACCAATCTTTGATATATATCTGGTACCTATTTATGATCTAATACTTTAATACTAATCGTAATCTATTACAGTTAATTTCAAATTCTTTTCTGGCTAATTTACAATCTGTGTTGACTTTAGTTTGTTCTCTATACAAATTAGATTTGCGTACTTACAACATGCTTTATACAGAGTAGTGTCCTGTTCTGAATAGATACTTTTTTTTATTATAAGTTGATTGCAGATATTATTGTTTTTTATTTTGATGAACATACTAATTTTGTTCTTTCTTGATTTGGTTTGATTTTAATAACTTGTTAATAACAGCAAACTGGTAAACTAAAGTCTTTGACTAATATGAGGGCATACTTATTCTTGTTAAATAAAATTCTAACCAAAGGAAAGAACTGTCGTGAATATATACTTTTTGATCGTCAAGACTTTAGTTGTGCTACGATCGGGCCGATATGGCAGAATGATTTGGAAGAGAGGATTGAAGCATGCAATGAGATGGGACAAAACTAGAGAAAAGACAACGAAGCGATAGGAGAGGGTCGTTAAAGAAAAAAAGGAAGAGGAGACAGGTAGGAGGAGAAGGGGAGATGGTATGGACAATAGAGAGAGAGAGGGGGAGGGTGAGAGCGAGATAGAAAGAGAGAGAACATGAGAGAGGGAGAGCTAGAGAAAGAAAGAGAGACAGAGCGAGTGTGAGAGAGATAGAGAGAGAGAGAGAGAGTGTGTGTGTGTGTGTGAGAGAGAGAGAGAGAGAGAGAGAGAGAGAAGAGGTGGTATCATGAAAGAGAGAGAAATGATGAGGATGCGCTCCGACGCTCTGGCGACAATTGTAAATCATTATTTGTTATCTTTGTGCTGCATGTTTCTGTTTTTGATGTCCAATAAAAACATGAGTACAACAAAACTGCCCTGACTTTTTTCTTCAAAGATAGGGTCACTTATGACTAGGGTTGCTATTGGGTTTAGGGTTAGGGTTAAGGTTAGGGTAAGGGTTAGTGTTTGGTACAACGTTGTATTTATGATGAGGTCAGTGTTACGCGGATCATCTGTCGTTCAACCAGATACAAAGAGAGAGAGAGAGAGAGACAAAAAGAGACAGAGAGACAGACATGCAGAGGGAGATAAAAAAGAGAAAGAGTGGGTGGGAGAGAGAGAGATAGAGCGAGAGAGAGAGAGAGATCTAAGAAGAGAGGCAAGCTATAATAAAACAATATTATACAGATATTGTATGTTAACTGAGGATGTGACAATGTATGCAGAAATCGAATGTTACATTGTACATTTGTATTATAAATTTTTACATGGGAATGAATCAGTTTTAATTATAAGTTGAAGAATAGAGAAGGCAGGGATGGCAGTTTTCAGGCAAAAGCCTAATTTCAGGCCCTGGTGATTTATTTTCAGGCCATAGTATTTTGTTGGGGGTACAAAATAGCTCATTGTATGTTTTTCAGGCCTTCTGATCAATTCTAACTGGCATCCCTGAGGAGGCATAACTAAGCACAACGATGATGATTAGAAGATCCTTTAAAAAAAAGAGAGGAAATTTTCAGAAAGTTTGACTTGATGTTAAACCTAATTTTGAAGTCAATTTTCTTTATTAAATTCATATTTGTATACTCCCGGGTGGAAAGCAAAACGATAATTATTGAAATAAATTGAGTATTAAAACATGAAAGTAATAATAACGATTTTGGTCTTGGAAATGTTATGCTGTATTTATGTATTGATTGATCTATTCATTTTATTTCTCTTGGATAAAGTCTTTTTTTCATTACTTTCATTTCTTCAGTTCATTACAAAAAACACACTCAGATTTTATCAGTGGCATAAACATGGTATCAAGAAACTCATAAAATTTGCTACATGTATACACGACTGATACTTTGCCGTGCACCCCGTGAAAATATCGAGATAAATGTCCATCCTCGATTTGACGCCCACCATGAGCACAACGTCAATTCTTGCCCGAAAAAGAGTTAGTTTTGTTTGTTTTTAATTAGGGGGAAGAGAATTTTGAGGCAATTGATCTAACGTACAGTATGAGAAGTGAAGAAAAACGGGGAAACATAACATATAAAAGTCTTCCTTAAGCCTGCCTTGTCGAAAGTGCATCTGATATCGACAATGTAACAAAATGAATCTACATTATTTAATTTTCAGAAATTTGAAAAATGATAGGGCCTACATAAACAACATCTTAATCTTACTTTGAATGAACATGTTACGAAATTGACTGCCCATTCGTGAGCTCGAATGCCCGAGTTCACCTTTCGACAATTACCGTCGAATTTGAACGAATATTGGCACACACACTAGACAGAATGAATTTGGATGAAAAAAGAGGTAAAATCCCATGCTTGAAACTCTATATTGAATGACTGAAGTATAGTTTGAATAAAAGTCTTCACCAAAAATGACGTCTACGCTTAATTGAACGAACCTTTGAGCGAACATTTGTTTAAAAATATCGTAAATAGATTTAATTACACGTGACAGTTAATCGAAATATGGCGGACGATGTTGATAATAAACAAACTTGGAAAATCACCAAACGAGTTAGTTGTCGTTTGTTTTGGCACAGTGGATGTTATAAACACCTGTAAAGTAAAAACACTGCCAAGCTGTCAAAGGGATCATTGGTTGGCAGAACAATTGTAATTATGGAAACCAGAACCGTTGTCGCTGGAATTATAGTCAAAGACAATAATATATTTATTCACAGTTTATTATATTAATAACATGAACAAGATGCTTTTACCTTAACATACTTTTCAATTTCCTGTTTTTATAATAATTTCTATTTCCTTTTCTTGAAATCCCACTTATTTCCTTAGTTACAGCTGAGGGTACAGACTTACAGGTTTAACAGTAAACCCAAACCCCAAATGTTCTTACAATATGTACTATTTTACTCCCGACAATAACCAATTCATGATGATGATAAATGCTTCCAAACAAAATAGTAGTTTTATTCTTAATTAATATCATTAAATAAACAACTTATTTGTATCCTTTAAACTGTCATTGGAATAATCACAAAAAAATCACTCTTAATTCCCCTGCTGGACTGTTGTCCCGATTGCATTTCATCAACGTAGTACGACCGACTGTCCACCCACCCCCCCCCCCCAATTACACCATATATTATCTTCATAATAAATATTTTAATTATCATTGTTATTACTGTTGATATTATTATTAACATTTTAGTAATATTGTTAATATTATTTTATCGATATCATTATTTTTTTACTATAATCATCATATTACTATTTTTATTTCCATTTATTTTATTATCAATATCATCATATGTTTCATTTAGTTGGATATTTTTTCCTTACAAAAACGTTGGTTGATATGAACAACAATTAATTACATGTATTCAATATCATTTCAGCTTCAATGGTAGCTATTACGTATAACTGATCAGACAATGTTATAATATAACAGTGTTGACGAAATCGGTGAAGCAATTACCGTGCCAATCTAGGGATTCTTGTGTTTGTAGAACATCCTTAATTATTCGTTATGAATTTCAATAGGTGGATATGGTTATTATTTTGTATATCCTTCAGCTGTCATTGCTTCGTGATTAATCGGTGGTTTGAATTGTGGAATGACAGTTTAACTCTTGACTAATGAAAACAAAATGACAGTTTAAATTAGTTGATAATAAAAATATGAAATGACAGTTTAATTGACCAATTATACATTATTTTCATGGAAAAGTTTGTCTCAATTTGCATGAATTGACCCGCACTCATCACAATATTTATTGTTTAGATCCTATAAAAGGAGGCGAAATGATTTGTTTCATCATTCACTCATCATTCTTCGATACTTCACTAGATTCAAAGCATTCGAGTCAACGAACCTTCTAACATGGCTTCAGTAGTAAGTACAATTTTCGGTTTTTACAGACCTAACGTATCTCGTTTCTGATATTAGCTTCATTATCAATATCAAACTAGTATATCTCAATTCGGGAAGGGCATTTTACTTAAGAGATGGCATGTGATATAGTAATACAAAAATTTGTTATGTTTTGTGTTGTTACAATGGTGTCATGGTATAGTTCATTCACCTATACTCTCAATCCTAGGGTTAAGGGTTCGAATCCCAGCCAGATACTTACGTCCTCTGGTAAGAAATTAATCCATACCAGCAGTTGCTGGGGTAATAATGATTGCAGGCACATCAAGAAGAACAGCATTGATGTTGATGAGGTTTCTTTGTGTGAACGGAGGTGTAAATTATATATACAATCTGTCGGCAAACTTCGAAATTGTTTTGGAGGTTCTGATGTTTTCTTATTTTGCCTATTTGCACGGATGAAATCTTCATGCAAGCAATACATTCTCTGTGGATTACATTGCACTTTTTTGTTTAATTCTATACCGCTTTGTTGCAGTAATAAATACTCCCGGAATGTATCCGAGACAAATCATTGATTTTGACGCGGCTCTTTCTTTATTTCCAGGTAAAAACTCTGTCCCTTTGCCTGTGCCTCATTGCATTTGTTACACTGGAAATCAAAGGTAGGAACGCTTATTATTAAAATGTTATCATGATTTATTATGAGTTTAGAACGAAGATGAAATAAATAATACCACTTCGGCCTCTTTGCGTACAAACGTCATTCATAGGAAAGTGTGAAATGTATTCTACATGGAAATAATACATTTCAATATAAAAAATATTTTTTTGAGGATGGAGTGCACTAATTTTCTATGGTTATGACAGAAGTCATATTTCATCAAATATTCCGTCTCACAGTAAATATGTAAGGTGACACCAAGTTACTTTTGATATGAATTCAAACGATTAAATTGGTATTGCTATTCATGTTAATGATTAACGATTTTTTGTTTGTTTGGGGGGGGGGGTTGTGCGATTCAAATGTTATTTCCATGAATTGACATGATTGAGGGATGATTTGCAAACATTTCATATAATTTGTGACTGTATATTTCATCTCAATTGAATGTTCAGTCGTTGTACGTGGATATAAAACAAAAATTTATTCAAAAGAGGTAGTATTGGAGAACAGGTTATAAACATAAAGTTATTTTGCTTAAAGTGTCATTGCGATTGCTAAATTCACATTACTTTCTCCTAATTTTAGCCCAAACCACCGATCGCACTTCGGAGTTTCAAGCCCTCTGTGATAGATACAGAACAGTGATGAACGACTGTGAAGAAAGACTTCCCGGGCTAGTGACTGCTGATGAGCAGGCTTTGCTGAAGTCAGCCGATAATAATCAGGTGTGTTTGGAAGAGGAAGGTGAAACGAACTTTGCCGATGCTTGTAAGATCTTGGAGAGCGTTTGCATCCGAGTTGTCTCGTGTCCCGCTTCAGGTAAGGAACATCGCCGAAGTAGCCTTTTTGTTGTTGTTGTTGTTGTTGTTTTTTTTTTTTTTTTGGGGGGGGATGCTATATTTTATTTAGACATTCGGTTCATCTAGGAGCCATTATTGTTGCAGGGGCTAAATGTCGTATTAAAACCTTTTGCTCAGATGTCACTTTATCAAACGATCTGCCGGATTGATATTATAATGAGTTGTTAATAGATTACGGTATATTCAAGGAAATAATTGATGTGTTTTCTCATCCTATACAGCTCGTTTTAGGCGTTCCTCCTCCGTCTCTGCCTCTGCTGAATCATCCGTTGAGTCTAGTGAAACAGACTAAGAAGGCCATCTCCATGACATGTCAAAGGTCGTTACCTTGAATATTGTCTTGAAAGGAGATCAAAGAGTCTTGTTCTGTCATCTGCTAGTTATATGAATTTGTATTTATGTAAATCTAATTTTATTTATTTATAATAATAATAATCTTTTAAAGTCCACACCAAATTTTATTAAGTTAAACTGAAAATGAAAATTCTTTTTGCCCAATTAATCATGAGTCCGGCAGCCATTGAGCAGCATAATAAATTCAATTTTGTTTGCAATCTCAATATGATTAAATACTGACATAATACTGCCCTAATCAAAATATATATTAGAGATTCACAATTTATGTGATTCATTCAATTTAAGACAAGTAAATTCAAATCTTTGTTGCTATGTCATTTACAACAAAGTGACATCAGCTTCAAGCAGTCTAAACTGATAACTTATTCTTTCTAATCTTACATTAAAAGCAGGCATCCAGGGTAGCACTACCAAAGAACATTAGTTAGTATCTTAATTAAAAATCAACGTAATTCATTTTTAGACTATGCAGTATTAAGGGTTATTTCATTTTCTCAGTCCCAAATGACGATTTTCGAATTATCGTTCTATAAAGGTTGACCAATCTTCGATATATATCTGGTATCTTTTTATCTTTCAATAATTATCGTAACCTAGGCCAGATAATATCAAATTCTTTTTTGGCTAATTTCCAATCTTTGTTCAATCTGATGTTCAGCATTTTGTTTTGTTTCAAGGATATGTTATTATTTATACAGTTTGATATGCGTACGTATACTTAATACACCATATTTGTATACAGGCTCGTTTCCTGTTCTGAGTTTGTACTATCTGTATTATAAGTCGATGGCACATATTCAATTTGGCAAGTCTTTTTTAATAATTTTTTTTTACTATAGTTATAACAGCAAAGTTGTAAACTAAAGCAATATACTAATATGAGGGCATATACTACTTCTTTGAAATAAAATTCTAACCAAAGGAAAGAACTGTCGTGAATATATACTTTTTAATCGTCAAGAGTTTAGTTGTTCTACGACCAGCCCAATATTGAAGAGTGATTTGGAAGAGAGGAACGTAGCATGCAATGATATGGGACAAACCACCTAGAGAAGAGAGAACGAAGCAATATGAGAGTGTCGATAAAGAAAGAAAGAAAGGGAGAGGAGAGAGGTAGTGAGAGAGTTGAAAGATAGAGATAGACAGAGCAGGGGAATTAAGAGAGACATTTTGCGATCGCTTCAAATTACAGTTTAAAGGATACAAAAGAAATGGTTTCATTTAATGATAGTGATTAGGAATACAACTGTTATCTTAAAGAAACAACAACATTTTTTTTTATTTATGAAGAGCTGGATGGCGGGAGTAAAATACTGAACAAGTTTGGGGTTGAAAGTCTGTACCCTAATAACTGTAACTCAGGAAATAATTGAGAATTAAAAAAAAAAAAATTCTAGCATGTATCGAATAATCTTGTTCATGTTATAAACATAAAAAACTGTGAATGAATATCTTATTGTTTATGACTTTATTTCCAACGGCAAGGGTTCTGGTTTCCATATTTTCATTTGTTCTGCCGACCAATGATCCTTTTGACAGCTTGGCAGTGGTTTGATTTTACAGATGTTTATAAACTTGACAGTGCCAAAACAAATGACAACTACCCCGTTTGGTGATTTTCTATGTTAATTTATCATCAACATCGTCCACCTTATCTTAATTAACTATCAGGTGTAATTAAATATTTTTACGATATTTTTTAGATATACTCACTCAATCTTTTATTCAATTTAGCACAAACCACATCTTCGGCGGAGACACTCCAAAATATACTTCAGACATTCCATTTAGAGTATCTGGCACGGAATTTTGCACTTTTATTATTCAAATTCATTCCGTCTAGCGCGTGTGCCAAGATTCGTTCAAATTTGTTGTCAAATGTCGAATGGTGAACCCGGGCATTCAAAGGGACTTGGTAACATTGTAAAGATGAAAGACACCGGTGGTAAGGTAAAGAAGTCAATGCTAGATGTACAATTAAAGATAATCTGAAAGTTTGAGTGAAAACAGTCCATTATTAACGATAAATATCGGGCAAAACTGATCTGATCGATACCTTAATTATCCCAACTACATTATTACAATTTTATTAATTTTTAGGTGAATGTAAATCCTCACAAAGCAATGAATTGGCTGTATATACCATTCCAGACATGTAAGTGTTAACAGATTTTTACAAGCCTGTCTCATGTCTTATTTTTCTGGAAAAACGGTTGGGAAAATTCGAAAATGGTCGGGAGAATTTACTGTTAAAATAGAGGGTGTTGTACAGTGACGCCTTCCTAGAAAACCATTGACATTAATATCTTTGTGGTTCGAGAATTTTTCCAGGAATGTTTGCATACTAGAGGATGAGTACAATAAAATGAAGATAATTAGTAACATTTCATTAAAAAAATTCCGCAATTCTTTCCTCAACCTTCAACAATGTTACCGAGTCACTTTAAGTTCGCGAATTGACAGTCAATTTTCTTTACATTTTCATTCAGGTTAACATGGATGTTCATTTAATTTAATTTATTTCATTCTCCATAAAAACATTAAAACATACAAACATGATATACAGATAAAAATCGATAACAAGAAAAATACAAAGGGAAGGAGTAAACAAAATTTCATGGGAATTTGGAGTTAACAAAAAGGGCAATTAGACTTATGAACGTCAACCCCTTAACAAAAACCTAAACACCAATACAAAAGGGGGGAAAAGGGAGAAGGGAAGGGGAGGGGGAATACATTACAAAGTGCATTAACTGAAACGTGACGTCATTTATTTTGAGATTGAATACAATGATAAAAGATGGGATTTATACAATCGTTTAAAAATATTAATTGAATTGGAGTTTTTCATATTAAACGGGATATTTTTCCATAAAACTGGTCCTTTGAAAAATATTGTATTTTTGAAACATTTGTACGGATTTTAGGAAAATGAAAATTACCAGCATTACGAGTTTCATGAGAATGTATTTGATAATTGAATGTAAATTTACATGACATGGACTTTGGCAGTAAACCCTTCGAACACATAAAACATAAAAATAGCAATATTACAATTACTATATCATAAAAATTAAAAAGCTTTAATTGTTTTTAAAAAAATTGCATTGAACGGGGCTTCGTAAATTATTCGAACAGCCTTCTTTTGTAATACAAATAATTTCGTCATAAAATAATCAGAATCATTTGACCATGTAATATTACAATAATTAATGTGTGGAATTATCAAGGCATAGTACAACATAATCAAAATATATCTCGGGAATTGTCTTAATCGATAAATAATACCAACTCCCTTAGCAACTCTATTACATATGACACCAATGTGCTCATGCCATGTCAATCTATAAAACACCAAGAAATTTAGTAAAAGAAACACGAAATATAGCTTGTCCATTGAAATGAATAATCAAGTTATCATCTTCAACTTTTCTGTTTGTAAATAACATAAATTGAGTTTTTATCAATATTTATAACTAATTTATTATTCAACAACCAATCATTTAATTTATGTAATTCGACAGTAAATGTATCTAATAACATGTTCAGATCCCTTCCAGACATGAACACACTGGTGTCATCTGCAAAAAGAATAAATTGTAAGAGTTTAGAATTAGTAATGATATCGTTTATATAAACCAAGAAAAGTAATGGACCCAATATAGACCCTTGGGCACTCCGCATCGAATTTGCTTATTTGAAGATTTATGGTTATTGATAACTACATTTTGAGACCGGTCCAAAAAATAACTCTTAAATAATAATAATATCTTTTAAGAGCAACCTTAAATCCCATTTGTTTAATTTTGCGTTTTGAAGACAGACATTCATTGATTCTTTCATTTTTGCATTTTCTTTCTTATGTAAATGTACACGATTCATTGTCATGATGTAATGTGTTCCCTAATATTTTGAAGCGCCTTGAGCATTTAATTAACAAGAATAATGGCCTTATATAAATCTCATGTATTATTATTATTATTATTAATACATTTCCACGAGTTCCATAATCTTCCAATTTGCTTAACAAAATAAAATGATCTAACTTATCGAAGGCTTTGCTCAAATCAAGAAACAATCCAACCATGTATTCTTTAGAATCAATAGCTTTACAAGCTTGTGAATAAATTCAAGAAGCGCCATCGATGCGGAGTATCCGGAGCGAAAACCATATTGATTATCAGACAAAATATTACATGAAAATAGAAAATCATTCAAACGTTTGTATAAAATAAAGGTAAGACAGATATTGGGCGGTATTTTTTTTGTATCACTAACATCACCTGATTTAAAAACTGGGATCACTTTTGCTATTTTTAATTGAGTAGGGAACACACCATATGAAATACAAGAATTAAATATAGAACTAATTGTGGAGCAATTATATGAATGACTTTTTTAATGACACCGACATCGATTTCATCATATCCGGCACTAGTTCCATTTTTTAAAGAACAAACAATATCAATAATCTCTTTACAAATAACAGGAGAAAAAAAAAACGCAGTTTTATCATTTCTTTTAAGATTCTTATGATAAAATGATTTAGAATATTGAACATTATTTGTTAAATTGTAACCAGTATTTACAAAATACTCATTAAATATTTCTGATACTTCATCTTTATCTGTAATTTTTCTACCATCAACATTAATTTCATCAATATATTGTTTAGAACATGATTTTGACTACCAAGAGCTTCGTTTATAGTTTTCCATGTTGCTTTCATATTACCCTTATCATTATTAAATTTATTTTTTATAATATTTTTATAATATTGATACTTAATTTTTTGAAATTTCATTTGTAATTTTTTTTCTAAATTGTTTGTACACATTTGTCCTATATTCAGTGGGTGACTTTAGGTACCTTTTGTATAAACGCCATTTTCTCCTTATCTTTATTAATAAATCTCTATTCATTCATGGCTTATTCATGCATTTACTTTTAATTATTATTTCTTGCAAGGGAAAGCATTCATCATATAAACGTAGAAATTTTGAAATTTTGTTCATTAAATCTAATAATATTTCTTTCATTCATGATTCGTTTAA